CCTACGCAACCGATCAGTACTTTGTCTTGCCAAGGGTGGCTAGGTTGACTCTGGGGTACAGAAAGCAAGTGACATTTTGGTACCTGTGATGAAAACGGGTGACTGCTCCTCCAAAGACAAGTTCTCGGATAGTATAGGGCAACTTTGAAAACTATTTCCCATAAGGAAGTAGCCCAAGCGGGGCCTGGCTTTTATCAGATTGTCTAAGATCTCAGGCAAAGAAGGTAGAATTCTGGGTCACAGTCAGAAAAGGAGATTAATGACAGTCCCTGGAGTGAAAGAATTGTAGATTTGTGGTTCTTCTACGCTGATCCATCTCCTGTAGACTCGTTCCACAAATTGGAGAAAAACTTCCCTCCCTCAAATGAAAAAAAAAAAAAAGCCCACCTCATTTTTTTAATAGAAAAATCATCAGTCCAGGAATACGGGAATCTAGAACCTACAAGCTCTGTCTTGTGTGTAGCAGTGGTCAGAGCCAAGTCCTTCAGAGGAAAATATAAATGACAGATCTGCCTCCAGAGGAAGCCTGTCCCTATCTCCCATCGGTTCCTATTAGCCTTCAACTTGAAGTGTACGACTTTCTATTCCTTGGAAATGTTTATCCTGGCTAATTTATAATTGCAGATAATATTTTTATGATTCTTGCAATTTTTTTAAGAGTTAAGGTTTAAGCCTCAACAATAGCATGTGGCCCAGCGTTTGGTGTATAAACGGGCCGTTGCGCACAAATATTTTCTAATGGAAGCAGCGTTGTGCTCGTTTACCTGTCCCTGCTGTATTTTCCTCACTACGTGGTGCTCCGTCGCTCTATCCGGCAGTCTTACCTGGATGTCTGAAGGTCAGCTCGAGAATGCTGTTCGTTCAGTCTGGGGCAGAGCTCTCCATAAGGCTTCTACAGCAAAGCTCACCCCCAAACCGGTGAATTCACAACCTGGCAATAGCAGAGAGAATTTTCCAAATGCTTCGTCCAGGCTTTATGGTAGATTAGCGGCCCTCACGTTTTGAGGTACTGCCTTCATTCTGGATTCAGTGCCCAATTCTCATCACACTAAGGCTCATTTGCCACAGGTACCACTCCAGTGGAGTTACTGTGGCTTTGCAGTGCTGACCATAAAAAGCAGAGTCAGGCTCCTGGCCGTATCTCTCTGGGGGCATCATTAAGTTTATTCTGGCAATTAAAGGACCTCTGTTCCCTTCGCATAAAGGGTCCTTTCTCTTTAGCACAGAGGTTAGTTCAGACGCATGCCTTCATACTGCATCTCTTGACCTTTTTGAGAGAGCCTTTCATTTCCACTTTATTTACAGTCTCCAAAAGTGTTTCACTAGAAGACTGAATGCAGAAAACGTGAAGCATCTGTCAGTTCCCTTTGAGGTTGAACACCGGACTACCCTCAGCAGACAGTCTGCCTCAAAATCTTCAGATAAGACAAGGCATCTTTGAGAAAGTTCTCCAAAGCCAGTACAAGAGACTTTTTGCTCCCCACAAAACCTCTCTGGAATATTATGTGTCTTTATGTCTCTGTTGATCCCTTTTAAAAAATCCTGAGGTTTGGCTTCATTTCCTTTGTACCGCACTTAGCTGTTGTAGTTTTAAAATGCTCAGTGTTCCATTTCCAAAAAAGATAATTTAAAAAGAAGGCTCCCTTTTCCCTCAAATGTATCTTTCTTAAAAAAAAAAAAAAATTCTGTGTCAGAACCTCAGTGCTGGAAGATGTAAGAAAGAGTTGAGTGGGAGGGCTTCTTGTGGTGTGAATAATCACAAGTGATTAAAATCAAGCTGACCAGGAAGATAACTAGCTAATCTAACAATTCCTATGTGGCTGGTGGTACGTGAAGTGTTTCTGGACAGCAGGAGCCTGCAGACAGCTGGTGAGCAGTCACACAGTCTGGAACGCTCGGCTTTGGGCAGGCACCATGACCAGCGTTGCTCCCATTTTCATCAGGTTAGCGTAGTCGACTTTCTTTGGCTCAATTTCTTTTCCTTCTGTCTCCCTCTGGCTGTACTGGGGAGGAGTTAGATGGGGAGTAGCTTCCGTTGACAAAGTCCGTTGGCTGCGAGAGGCACTGTTGGCTGTCGACCTGGTTGAGGAGGAACCTGAGCGCGAACTCCTGGAACCAGAGGAAGAGGAACTGGGCTTGACGAGATGGGCCTTGGGCGCCTCTGCATCTTCTCTGCAATCAAACAGATGACAGGGCTCAAATACCACGAGAACAGAAACGCTTATACATTTTACCAGGCTGAATTGCTGCTGCAATATGCTTATTGAAGCTGCAAATCACCAGAGCATATTTGTCCTGCAGTTTGAGCAAGGTACAGGCTTTTCTGAATTCTGTGCTATGTAACTCTGTGGACTGAACTCCCTAGTGCTCTACGGGGCTATTGGTCAACTGGATTTAGAATACGTGCTGCGCACGACCGGCTCTTTGTGTGCGGCTTTGAGGTCTGTGGAACGAAGGCCAAATGTCAGCGCGAACAGTTCAGATAGAACTCTCTGCTCTGTAATCCTTACTCATTAAGGACAAATGACCTAGCTGAGACCAGTTCTTCTGGTTAAAAAAAAATGCGGGTAGTGAAAGAAATGCAAGAACTGGGCCCAGAGAGAGAGAGAGAGGAGGTAACAGTCGTGTAAAAAGGTGAAATGAGAGGCCAAAGCTCAAACTAAAAATAAAAAGGCATGCAAGATTTGAAAGCAAGGAGAACAGGAAAAGGAAGAAAGCAGCAGAGACTACCTTCTTGCTGGCAACTCGCCCATCAGGCAGACTAATCAGCTGCCGAATAGATTACAGAGATGCCTAATGGTACACAGAAGTCATATGAGGGCAGACACCCTTTTACAAATAGACATAAGGATAGAAGAAGGCAAGGCGTTTCTTCAAGGGCAGGAGCAGCTAAAAACTCATTCCTGGAAATATCTTCTTCTAGCGCTTTCCCCTCCTGAGAACTTTAGGCTTGATTGGCTAAAGACCAAGCTCTGCTTAGGGGATTTAAGTGGCAGACCTCACATGCATGTAACAGATGAGTTCGAAGAACATGCGTCAGCATTCTTGGTACACCCGCTCATGGTGAGGCTTCTCAACTCTGCACACAGCAGCTTAGGGGATTTTTCACCCTGAGCTAAATCCAGAAGCACAGTTGTTCAAAAGACTCAAGAAAGAACGGGAGAACCTGCCTGCCTTGTAGCATTCCCAACAGAAATTGCAATTGAAAAGAAAACAAACAAACAAACAAAACTTCTCAGGATAACAACGGACAGGTGGGTTGAATTTAGTACTGGACACGATTAGGCTTTAAAATGCAGAAATTGCAAGTGTGAGGCAGAATATTTTGTTGAGTTTTATGCTAATTTGTCGGGGGGGGAAGACATTTTCATCTATCTAATTTTCTGGAAAGTCTTCACAAAAGCTCTCACAGTCAAGAAATTTGACACTGATATTTCAGGGAGACTTTCAAAGCTTTTTAAGGCTCTTACACCTGTATTACTTAAAACTGTAGTGAAAAGATGTGTGAAACTGAAAGAAGGGAGGGTGGGAGGTGCAGGATTAGATAAAAGGCGTTACCTGATTTCATTTGGTGCCTCCTCTTCCTCATATCTCTTCTTTTCTTTCCTCCTCAGTGTCAACCTCACCACCAAGAAAAGGAGGGAAAGTCCCACCACCACGCCACAAACCGCTCCAGCGATCATGCTGATATTTTGTGCATCTGTTGTCCAGAAAACAAACGTGTTAGTCGGTGAACTCTCACTAGGTCCATATTGTCAGATTCTAGTCCGCGCTACAACTTCTAGCACTGGGAATAAATCAGAACAGAATGTAGTAGTCTACTTATTTAGGCATATCTTCACACAGAAGTTGAACCAGTTTATCTTCAGGCGTTGTTTCTAAAGCTAGCTAACAGCGAGAAAAGTATTCTCCTCTGGAAGGGTGGGATCACAAGTGCTGTGCCTTCAGCTACAGGCCAGAATTGAAACGAGGAGGAAAAATCCTCTCTTAAGAGCACAGAACCACAGAAAGTACAGAGACAGACAGGAAAACCCACACGATAAACAAAGCACCAAGCAGTTTCCTAGAGGCAGAAGCGTGTTTGAACTACCAGTGTTTCCCCGTGAGGATTTTTTTTCCCCCTTTAACTCACCCCGAAATGATTACAATTCACTTGCAGAATGAATTATTCAATTGGGGGAAAAAGTGACCTGAGGGAGGTAGAGAAAAAGGAGGAAAGACTGACCATACTGTGCAGGTGTAAGGCACTTTTCATCTAAAACAACAAAGTTAATGAGGGAACACTTCCACTTAATGAGGGTATATGGGCCCTTAGTCGATACTTCATGACAACATCTTTTGGTGTTAGGTTGGGTTTGGCTGAAAGTTGTTTCCTTAAGGCTGGTCCCTATGGACGGTTTAGCAAACCAAAGCGTGGTTTTAAACCAATTCAGTTCAATCGACATAAAAAGCTACCTGGACATTTTTACTTCAGATGCCCGAGGCAAACAGGTTTTCCTTCCTATAGGACCGTATTGCAGTTATTTCAGGCCTGGCTGGGCAGAAAAATTCCAAAGCTGTGGAATCTCCACAGAAAAGACTTTGCTATTAGCAGCCTTTTATCACAGCAGATGCAGGTCCTGCTGATCTCCCCTGAGAGCTGCACCTAAAAACCTCCTAAACTGTTTTGTTTGGATTTGTCCTAAGCGCTGGCGTTAAACTCCACCCTTTTCCTTGCACGCATATGCAAAGACATGCGTGCACCCTTGATGGGCTTCATCGAGTAGGACATTGATTTTAATCTCTTGGTGTTCAGGACAGAATTTATTAAATCTGGATCAAAACCAAACTGCATCAAAAGTTGCTTTTTATTCTGCACATTACTTCATGTCAACGTAGTATCTACCTTTAGATAGGTTCCTGTCTGAAGTGCAACAGATAAGTAATTTGGAACTGGAATAACAGACTACCCACACGGAGATTTCACACTTGAGAATAATCTCATGCAATCACTCCAGCCAGAAGTACTTCAAAAGCCGGAGACTCTGGAACTTCTAACTCACCGTTTTTTCCCATGTATTTTGTTAGTCATTCTCAAAATCAAAATCTCTAACAGACCAGAACATCTGAGCCCAAACGATGTATCGGCTACTTTAGGTTATACAGAGGACTGCTGTGCAAACCATAAGTGCGATAAATAAGAACTACTTCACGTGATTCAAATATGAAAGGGCAAAGGTGCGGCACAGCGTTGGGACAGCTGGGAAGCGGCGCTGCTGCTGTGGTGGTGCGAATCCTAGTTATGTACCAATACTTACGCTGCACTGTCACCTGAACAACACAGCTTTCTTGTCCAGCCTCGTTGGTGGCAATGCATTGGTATAACCCTGTGCTCATCTGCGTAAGATTCTTCAGTAGGACTTGCCCGGGATTAGAAATGTCTGAAACAGGAAAAACAACACTGGGATTAATCAAAAAAGACTAAGAAACCTTAACAGTGGATAGGACACACGAGCACCAATTGAACGTCTGGATCAAATCAGTTCAAGAATGATCAATGATGCCTCATAAAAGATCATTTGTCAACCTTAAACAAAACCCTACACAAACTCCTCGTGCACTTGTTCGGGGGAGAGCACGCCACAACGTCCAGCTGCAGTAGCGAGAGGTACTGGTATACCATTGCTACCGCTGCCAGCAAGTAATCCCCGTTTAAAAGTCAGGCACGTGACTGCGCACGTACACGCGGGCGGTTCTCTGGCTTTGAGCGTACCCAGAGCTCTAAGAGGAAATGACCTGACTTACTGACTCTTGACGTAGGTGGGAGATGTTCAGCTCTCTCGTCTTCCTCATTTATGCGCTGCCATCGGTAGGAGATGGGTGCAGTGCCAGAGACGGAACGGCACTGCAAGGACAGTTCCTTTCCTTCCAAGAGCTCCCCTTCTAGCCAGCATTTGGGCTTGGAAGGTTTTTCTAGAGGAAATAGGAGACAGGTCATTTTCTTGATGGAAAACACTTTCTTTGGCAAAGTACATGATTTAAGCAGCTTCCAAGAGCTGCCTTCTCTGGAATGCGTTAAGGAATTACACCAGTGATGTTTGTTTGGGGCCTTTAGCTGCGACTGTGTGCAACTTCATAGCCTAAGAAGTGGAGCTGGCTGACTCAGACATAGAAATGACCCATTATAATACTCTGGGGCAGTTTGCCTCATAGATACTTGCATCAGTAGAGCCGTATCGCTGCGTTCCTCTTCTAGGTACTATTTAAAGAACATCCTTTTCCTCCCCCTACTTCTCCATTTCTTCCTTCTCCCCACAGCATCTGGCAGGCCGCAGCACTTCTTCCATGGGATGAGAGCGTATGTGCCAAAAGCCAGCCAATACACTGAAGTCAGGGAAGAGAAACGCTAACCCCGGCAGCTTATTTGTCGCCTCTACGAACTTGGATCAGTTTGGGGTCCTGGGACATGAACCCAGAGTCTTCAGCAGGAGATCTGGACAGGGTGATTGCCAGCTAAGCTAGAATATCAGTCTAGTTTGTGTGATGAGATCACAGAGATAATTTGGAAATAACAGTTCATATGATTTTGCAGGTGATCATACTTACCTCTAAACAGTTCTTTAGGCTCTTCCTGTCTCCTGTCCTTTGCCAAAAAAACCCGCAAAGGCAGATAGAGAGTTGGACAGTGAAACCTGATCGTGAGATGTCTTTGTATTTATACCCTGCTGAAATAAATCTCTCTCCAGGAAATGAGTCTAGCGATTTTTTTTTTTTCTTCGGAAGAACAATAAAATGACCTTACCTACAACCTTCAGGGTGATGCGAGCCCATTCATACTGCCCAGCATTTTTAACCTTACATATGTACTTCCCTGCGTCGCTGGACTGCAGGGATATGATTTGTAAGGATGCATCTCCAGCAAGGAAGTTGGATGTGAAGGAAACACGCCCTTTCTGTTCCTCATTCAGGTCATCATAAACACGGCCTCCAGAGTAAGTGATCACCTGAGGAGCAAAGATAAGGCACTGATCAGCCACTTATAATTCTACTTTCACATGGAACAACACATCAAAGCATTTTCAGGAACTGCAGACTAAGGTTCTGCACGGTTAGGTGACTTGCCAAGGGTCACACAGGAAGCCTGTGGCAGGGTGGAAAAGTAAACCTGGATTTCAAGTCTGAGACTGGTGCATAAACAGTATTTATACTAGAAACTTGTACTGGAGCATTTATACTAGGGTCAAAATAGGCATCAGTTTATATCATAACGTACAGAAGCAGTCTCTAATTTTGTCTAGTTTTGCCTAGCTAATTTAAGTTACCGCAGACCTGATTTTTGTAAGTACTAAACTACTGTAGTTTTTCCTGAAACCAAGGTTTCAAAAACAGCCTACAAAATCCATGGTCGTTTTTGAAAACCTGAAGGGCAATTCTGAAGTTTATCCAATGACAACTGATTACCTAACAGCATTAGCTTAAAGAAAACTCGATTGTAACACAACCCGTTCTGATACAGCATGCGTGAATATCAAATAACTTTTAAACGTTAGAAATCTCTACGTAAATCAGCTGTATTTTCTAAACACCGCTTACTTCATCAGAATAACTCGCAAAGATCATCGCAGAAGTCTCTTTAAATCAATGGCTGCCGCTGATGTCAACACAGAAATAAGACGATTTGCTCAGCAGATGCTAACCATGGGTGAACCTACCGCTTTTTGTACCGTTTCGGAAATGTGCAGCAGCCACTCGATATCCAGGCTCCCTTGCTCTAGGAGGCCCAGGCGGTGGTGACAGGGCAAAGTCACGTTTTCTTCAGCCACTCTCTTAAATTCAGTCTGAGCCTCGGACAGCCAAAGAGAACAGGAAGCTGAAAGACAGATGCCAGTGGTCAGAGGCCAGAATTAAGGATGCATCTCTGCACGGACAAGTGTTGCTAGCTTAGGTTTCACTGGATCCTTCTTCGTTTGCTTCGTAGCATGAAAGAAAACTCAACAGCTTGGCTTCCTGGACAGACTGCAGCTGATTAAACAGGACATCTATACATACACAGGCAGTTAGTTTCACACTAATATTTAAGCATGAAGAACAGATGGTTTCACGCTCCAGAGCTGTCAATACTAAAGTCGCAAGCACATCCTCTGTGCACTCAAAATTTCAGATAACCTCCTCGGTTTTGCCTTCACCTTTTATTACCTTAATTCCTAAGCAGTATTTCCACCCAGAAGACTTTCAGAGCCTTCCTATGTCAGTCTGCCAAGGCTGGGAGTCTCTTCCCTAGCACCGGATGATGTTCGTTGCACGCATTTCAGCACTGGAAATAAGAGGCCAGCCTGGGAACAAGAGGGTTAACCTTAAGAAAGGCACGGTACAAGCAGGCTAGCGAAGTGTCTTTCTATAGCAACATCCAAAGAAAAAAAAAAAAAAAAAGCTAAGTTGTCAAAACCGGTTCGTCAGGCTTTTTTTATTAAAAAAATAAAGACATTGCAAAGGTGAACCAGTAGAGGGAAGCAGAGCCCGTTAAATGTTAGCCAGTACAAGCCAAAACGCTCGTTAACTCCCTCAAAACTTGGACCAGGAGACAGTGCGCTGCAGAAAAAGATGATATTCCAGCAGCACTGGGTTAGTCACTGTCAAACTCGCACTTTCTTTCTGAGTTTCTTTCTATAACACGCCCCTGCTAAAAGTGAACAAAATCGGGGTGGATTCTTGGCTTTGCCCACCTCCAACTTTCGGTAACACGTGGACTTGCCACGGTAAGTTCAAACTCAATTAAAACTGACCCAAAATATCAGAGGTATGGAAAATTATGGGCTTTTAGGTCAGGGACGCCTGAGATTTGCTATGACACCAAGTAAAAACATTTCCAACCAAGTTTCTATGGGGATTTCTGGGCCACAAATGCCATCTGCCTTTTGTGTATGAATCTTCAGAGTCTAGTTAGATTGTTCTTAGGTTTTGCTGTGCACAAAGAAAGCCTAAAAGCATTTTTTTAACCTGTGAAATGAGGTGAGATGAAATATCTTACGTCTTGGAGCAATTATTGTGAAACCGATGAAAACTGTGAGAGTTGGCAGCACTGGGAAGTTACACGTGTGATGGAACACACAATCCTGTGATTACATAGCAGAAGTACTGACAAGAGCGTAAGCAGCTCTAGTTACATAGGCTAAATTTGTTCCTATACTTGTATTTAAGCAGTGCGACGTTTACCTTTCCTTTACCTTTAAGTTAAAAAACAAAAAAACCAACAACAAGAAAGAAAAAAAAAACCCAGGAAAAATTACATCCACCATGACACTTCCTCAGCTTCTTCTGTGTCTTCAGGACCAACTCTGGTTTTAGAAAATTCATTCTGTTCCTGCTCTCATTCCCAGATCTGCCTCTGAGTTGGGAGCATGACCATTCCTCAGCTCCTGAGCTTCTGATATTTAATCAATACTCGCCAAGCACTTCTAAAAGATAGCATCTACGATGTGCATGCATGTACATAAAACACCTAGAATTTTAAGACAGGTGGAGTCTTGCAAAGGATTAAGCTTTCTTCCCCTACATGAATCTCTGCATGAATCCATGAGGGTGAAAGTTCCTTTTCAGCCACGTTAGCTGCTTTCTTTAAAGGGAAAATAATGCAGTTTATCACTGGATTCACTAGTCTCAAAGCTCCATCTGCCAAATACAATTATACATTCTGCCCAAGATGAACGCCTGCTTTCTCCTACAGCCCACATTGCTGCGGGCTGCCTTCATTAACACGGTGACACTCGCTAGATGACTGATCAATAAGTTTAATTTAAGCACCACGATAGTGAGCGTTCACATGACATTTGCAACATTTTCAAAGTCCTGTGCCAGCAGAGCACTGAGGTTTTGCGCACACCTCACGGGGTATATTCTGCATTTTAAAATGCAGTTTGACATTAAAAGCCTTGATCAGGATTATAAATCACCCTTCGAGGGAGTATAACAAGCATTATTTTCATTCCTCTCTTAGGCAGACTTAGACAGACTGTTTTTAGGAGAGCTCATGCCATGGTCCATTCTCGTTGTCCCCAGCAAACACGCTCTGGATTTGAGAAAGAGCCCCGTACCTATAAGCTCATCTTGTAAACAGGAGTAAGATGGGAGACGTCCAGTGAGAGGGTGACTGCACGTTTCTAAAGCACCCTTTATCTTTTCTATGGTACCTGCAATCAGAGAGTAAGATGGGAGACGTCCAGTGAGAGGGTGATTGCACATTTCTAAAGCACCCTTTATCTTTTCTATAGTACCTGCAATCAGAACTAATTTGGAGCTGATTCACCACTGAACCGATAACCAGATTATCACTCACATTGTATACTTTTCCATGACGTGTTTTTCTTATTAAAAAAAACTTGTCCCTTCAGTCCTTATTAGTTCTTTAATAACGCCCACAAACTCACAAGAAAGTCTTAAGTTTTGCAGGCTTTCTAGACAAAACCCTCACTTGATTTTCTTTCCATCATCTATACCTGTCCAAAGGAGGCTCCAAACACAGCTTCATTAAAGTACCCAGCGTAGGGGGCCGGTTAGGGAAATTACCCACGCAAAATCCAGAGAGAGCTCACTGTGAGCAAACGTCTTGCCTTTCAATAGTTTGGGTAAGGTCTCACTGTGATGAAATGGAAATCTACCTTTAGATACGTGCTGGAATTTACAGTATACGTCTCGGAAAGAAAAAGGAACTAGAGAACACATCCAGGCCCCCTCTAAGTTATTTTAAGCGTTTTATTATTCAACAAAGAATAAAAGCCCTCTGAAGTTCTCTTGTATTTGTGTAAATGAGACCAGGGCAAAGAAATAAGATTTTGCTCACAGTGCTTTTACCATTTATCCCCCCTCCCCAGTTTCAGTTTCATTTAAATGAGTACTAACAGAGAGCGTCTGCTTACAGACAACCCCGTACAGCAGCAAACACCTCCGGATACTGGCCAGGACACACATCCACTACTTCGCAACAAGCAGCTTGCTCCTAGCGAGCACTTCTGCTCTGCGGGATGGGTGCTCTGCGGGATGGGTGCACGGCCGGCTGGGTGGACGGGATGGGTGCGCTGCGGGATGGGTGCTCTGCGGGATGGGTGCACGGCCGGATGGGTGCTCTGCGGGATGGGTGGCCGGCTCCTTTCCCCCTCCCGGAGCTCCGCAGCCACACGAGGGCAGAGCCTCCTCAGAGTAACGCCTAAGGACGGGCTCCAGCAGACAATAGATTAAGACAATAGACGATTTTCCCCAGAAGTCTGATCCGAGAGTCTCGCTCAGTAATGCCACATATATGCAGGCTCCACAGTTCTTAACCCAAAAAACCTCTTCCCCTTCCACATCCTGTGTGTGGCTCTTTATGCTACAAAGGGCAATTGGGGAATTGCATCTTTCTGCTTTACTCAGCCCTTACTCAGCCTGCGTGTCCCATGACTTCAGAGGGAGGGTGGTTTGTTTTTCCTGCAGAGCAGGAACCCTAAAAGCTTATTGCAACTGCAGCATTTTGAAAGCATTGGCCGTGGGCCTGAAAAAAAAAAGCATTGGGTGCAGCTGCCAGGCTTGCTGACGCACCACGGGCAATGCAATGTTCTGTACTGGGGGGGGAAGGAGACCACTGTCATGTTTAAATGTTTGCTCTATTGTTCAGAGGACAATAACTCACCCAACACCCTGCAGACAAGGGAGAAAAATTATGGTCTTTCATCCCTCGCTGATTTTTTTTTTTTTTTAAATAAAGAAACACAAAGCAACAAATATTTTAAAACAATACCAAAGCTAGCACACCTAACCAGAGAGTACCCAAACAGCACAAGCACAGATTTACCAGGGGAAGGGCCCAGATTGGGCCAGGGCACCCAAAGGGATGTTCAGCTCTAGCAATAACAGCCCATTCTGCCCTGCATGCACAGCAGGTTTTAAAGAAGGGGGG